GAAGTCAGAATTTGAGAACTCGAGGCAACAAAATGAGCATGTTATTAAAGGATTAAAAGGTGTGGGACAGCGATCGGCTCCTGTGGTCTGATCTCAGCAGAAGGACACAGACAGTCTCAGGAATGGGGAGTCCAGAATCCGCTGCATTCTGTGTCCGCCCCCACATTCTGAAGAACCATCCCTGGGGCTGCTCCTGCTTACCAACATGATCTGTCCTGCTCCTCTGGACTCAGGACCAGGGGCCTCTGGGATAAATTCGCATCAGCATGCCAGTCCCCTCTGGGCTCATACTCTCAATCTCTCTTGCTGACAACACCTCTTTCCCTGGGTGCCAGAAGCTGGAGAGGTGGGCTGGACTGTGAAGGAAGATCCTGCAGCCTCAATAATGTGCCTGACCCTGGGGTTCTGTAGAGACACAAGAAGCCCTGGAAAAGCAATGACCACATGGTCACTCATCCAACATTTGCTCCACATGAATTTCTGGGGGCCGTAAGGTGAAGTCCACTGTGTTAGACACTGTGGAATAGAAAAAGCTCAGAAAAATCCAACTCTAGTTATTAGTCAGGGTAAAACAATAAAAAGGACCATGAGATTTGGACTAAAGGTAGTGAAGGATTCATTGCAGCTTTGTTACCTTTTAACAGTGAGAATATGAGGATGTTACTTAAGTTGTAATTTCCGAAATGAGGAGCCAGGTATTTATCATAGGCATTGAGCAAATTATGCAAGATGAGGCTTATCAAGCCCTCAGCACCTGTCTGGTGTGTGGTAAATATGAATAAAAATAGGCAAGTTGCTGAGTCAGGTATCAGGTACCTTTTTTAATGTTCATACAACCCTGTCAGCTAAATATTATGATAATTATTATATCCATTTTGTGGATGAGAAAAACAAGGCTGTGTGCTGTTACATAATTTTCCTTAAGGTCTCTCAGTCTGCAAATGAAAGAACAGGGAATCAGCCTCATATCTGCCTCACTCTAAACCGTATACTGTCTCCACTATTGCATGTGGTCCTCTACATGGTCAGCTTCCAGAAACACCATTTCTTGCTGCCTTCAGAGAGCTCAGGCTGGGAGCCAGTCCCTGAGCCCCCAAATCCCAATTAAGAGTGGAGTGGTCTGTCTTCCCCAGGGTGAGCTCTCTGCAGCCCTATCCCCTAACATCCCCTTACATTTTCATTCAGAATCAGAGGGTCCCAGAGGAGTATGGTTGGAAGAGTGGATCAAACTGCTCTCTCTCCTCTGAGATAGAGGTGGGAGGATGGACATAGAAACCTAGAGGAAGAGAGTACCAGTCTACCATGCATCTCTCTCACTGAAGCCCACCTCTATGCATCACGGAGGCACTTGCTGACTTGGAAACAACCCCTGTCCAGTTTCATGTCTGGTCTCCTGAACTGCACTGGTGGGAGAGGATGAATGAATGGATAGATGGATGGTACCATCTATGGCCGATGTGTTCAGACCCTTTCCTGGCCCCTCTCTGACATTACTCTACTATTGGACTTACCCACGAAAGCTGAATTTCTCAAGCACCTTTATACACTGGCTTCCCTCTAGGTTTAGTTAATGAGAGGAAAATGTTGGAGATTAAAACAGAGGAAATAAATATGGAAGCAAAAATTACTTCTTTTTCTCCTTCTCTCTGCATTCTACAAAATCTCTGGTAGCAGCTGCATCTCCTCTGAGCCTCCAGTACCCAAGAAGAAGAGCTGCTGTGGTTTAATTTTCTTCTGGGTGCCCCTGATCCTGGGCTCTGGCACACTGTCTCTTCCCTTGTCCTGATGATGTTCTCTTGCTGTTGCTCATTTCTCAGTTACTTCACTGGCCATGTTTAATTTTTCATATTTTTCATATTTTTGTAATTTTTCATATTTTTTCATACATGCTTCCATGAAGCATGTAATACATTTCTTTGATAAAATTTCCTGTCTTAAAGAGATTTCTATTTTTGAAAATGAACCTTAACTGATAGAGATGACAGATGAAGGGATGGATACATGGAAAGTGAGATGGGATGGACTGATGGAGGGATATTTGAATGAATGGACAGATAGGTAGAAAGATAGGGAGGTGGATGGATGGATGGATGGATGGATGGGGATAGTACTCAATGAATGTGTCCCTCTTACCAGTCTTGGAATTTCATTCTAATCTTTTTCATGTTGGGTCCATTTCCCAAGCATCCACATTCTCCCTTAGTCTTAAATACGTTCCCTTGTACAATCAGAAAATTTTAGACATGATTTATTTCAATATTACTTTGCAAGATATTCCTGTTCTTTCAAATTTCTTTCCAACTTTTTCCTTTTGGTGACCATAAAATGCTTCCAAATTATTGTTTTAAGAAGAGTCATTTCACATCTTCACCCTCAGATCCTCACATAGGCTTACCTTCCATTTCCCAGTAAACAGCCCAATTTTTAATTTTATGGTCACTATTGCCACCTTCTAGGATACATTTCTTCTTATTTGATTGAAAAACCTCTTTCTCCAAATTCTGACCAGTTGAGCTGGCTGGTACTGTCCTCAATAATTGTGTTTTCTCCTTTAACTTGACTGTATTTTCTTTATTCTCCTCTCTTTAAATGAAATGTCACATGAACCCTAAATTTTCTCTTCAGGTTGTCTCTTGATAGGTAACTTCATCTATGGGTTCATCCAGGTATAGAGAGCAACCGTGCAGAATTGCAAAGATAAAATTTCTCAGAAAGATACAATTTTCAAAGCACTATTAAAGATGGTGAGTTCTTTAGTAATTCAGGAAAAAAAGCCTTTAAAGCATTGTGAAGATACACAGAAAAGCTATTGTTCAGAATATGCAATGTCAGTTTCTCCTAAAATATACACAAATATTGCCTAGGTCCCCTACCAATGTGGGACAGCCCCAAGACTTTTACTCAGTGACATTTCATATCCCTTCCTCGGCTGTACGGAATGAATGTTCTTTGAAGATGGCGGCCTCCAATATCATAAATCCATACTGGCGCAGCCGTGCCGTCCTCCTGACAGTTTCCAAATAAGGAACATGACCCACGGAGGAAAGAGACAATGGCGTACGCCATGATAACTACTGGCGGAGCGTGGCTTCAAAAATGTTAGTGAGCATGCGCGCAGTTCCGCCGTAGCCAAGGAAATCCTGATGGGATACTAACCCAAACCGGAAGTGGCCCAGAGCGGCCATTTCGCGTAGGCAAGGAGTTCTCGCCTTCCTACATAGTTTGCGGGACGCCGAGGTGATATGGTACATTAGTAGCGGGGATTCGGTGACGTCAGTGACGGAGGTCGGCTTGGGGTGAGCGATGACAGGGCTGCGGGGCGGGCGAAGGCGGGTCTGTGAGGTGTGTGATTCGGGGTTTCTGGGTGAATGTTGGCGACTGTGGGGTATGTGGGGTTTGCTAATTTAAGTTGGATAGTTGGCTCTTTTCTTGTGTGTTTTTTTTTTGTTTGTATATAAGTATTTTTGCAACTTAAATTCCAAGTGAACTTTAACATCAGATTTTATATTTTTGGCTATGAAACTTGTTCATTAGAGGATAGTGGCCATGAGTCTTAGGAGCGCCTTAGTCGATGGTAGCCGAGGAGATTTAGGAAAGTCATCCACTGCTTGGGGGACTGGAGGAGTCAGCGGTCGATTGGGAGCCAGGAGCTTCAGGGCTTGGAGGACTCTGAGGGTCACCTTATATTACACTCTGGGGGCCAGTGATTGGTCACCGACAGGAATCAGTGGAGTGGGGTAGCATACGGGAGCCTGTTGGCTGGAGGCCTGGGGGGTCGGTGATTGGGGTTTGTGAGGGCGACTGCATTGCTTCCTGGGCAGTGACGGTCCTTCAGCGTTGGATGTGTGGGTCAGTTCTGGCCTCTCCTTGAGTCTCTGTGGACATGGTAAGAATCAGTGATTGGCAGTTGAGCAGATTGATGACGATTTTTCTATTGGGGTGTTTTATTTGAGCCCCTAACTTGAGGATTATTTGGCGTCCTGTGGAAACCGATAAATTGTACTCCCTGGGAAACGTTTATTGCCTGTCAGGGTTGTAATGATTTCGGGAGCTTGGGCCATGGCAGTGACTGGGAGGCATTTTGCAACCTTCTGGCAAGTCCTGTGGTCCACCCACTGGGGATTTCTGAAAGTCAGTGCTGTCAATGACTGCATTGGGTGTGGTGAGGGCACCTCATTATGGACAGGCAAGAAAGGGTCAGTGATTGGAGGTCATGAAGCCTGTCTGCAAATTTTCTGGGTGAAGGTGGGGGTTGGGTACAATGATTTTCATTGTTAGCTTTGTTAGAAGAGGCTGGGCTGTATGTATGGTGTGTCATGGCTAGGCAATGAAATGTTCAGAACCGGCACCAGACACAACCAGCTCCCAGCCTGAGCTCTCTGAAGGCAGCAGGAAATGGAAATGGTGTTTCTGGAAGGTGGCCACATGGGGTACATGAGACAGCGTGTAGTTTAGAATGAAGTAGATGTGGGGCTGATTCCCTTTTCTTCCATTTGCAGACTAAGTAACCTCTGGGCAAATTATGTAATAGCACACAGCCTCATTGCCCTCATCCACAAAATGGGTATAATAATGCTCGTGATATTTAACTGACGGCATTGTGTGAAATTAAGTTGACAAGTTGATGGGTTTTATTCATATTTACCACACACCAGGCAGGTGCCGAGGGCTTGACAAACCTCATCTTGCATAAGTTTTCCAAAACTTGTGATGAATACCTGTATCCCCATTTTAGAAACTATGACTAAAGTAATATCTCCATATTCTCATAGTTAAAAAGTGGAAGAGCCGCAGTGAGTCCTTCATAAAGTTTAGTCCAAACTCAGTATTTTTTCTTAACTCTGGCTAATAACTAGAATTGGATTTTTCTGAACGATGTCTACTCTGGTGTCTAACATGGTGACCTTCACCTCAAGGCCCTCAGGAATTATTTATGGAGCAAATGTTGAGTGAGTGACCATGTGGTCATTGCCTTTCTAGGGCTTCTTGGTGTCTCTGCAGAACCCCTGGGTCAGGCCACATCATTGAGGCTGCAGAATCTCTCCTCATAGCCCACCCCACCTCTATGCAGTTGTCCTGGTTGAAGCCTCCAGACGCCTTCCCAGCTTCTGGGAAAAGTGGAGCTGTTGGCAAGACAGACGGAGAGTTGAAGCCCAGAGGGGACATGCCTGCTGATGTGAATTTATCCCAGAGGCCCCAGGTCCTGGGTCCAGAAGAGCAGGATGGCTCATGCGAGGTAAGAAGGACCAGCCCCAAGGAAAGTTCTCCATAATGTGAGGGCAGATGCAGCAGATTCTATACTTCCTGTTCCTGAGACAGCCTTGATCCTTCTGCCAAGCAGGGACCACAAGGGGCTGATGTCCCACCATCCACAGGCCATCTGCGTTCTGAGAAACTGTGAACTGGCTAATGAAGGAGGATGTGTTGGAGTAGAGGGTTGGCCCTGGGCCAAGGAAGAAGAAAATATAGTCTGGATGGGAGCCCCAGTCGCAGGCAGGGAAATGCCGACTCCTTCCTGCTCAGCACTGGCTCAGCTCCTTCACCCACCACTGGGCCTTTGCGGATTCTCAGCCGGTCCCCACCGGACTCCTCCTCACCTGGTCTATGGGGATTGGCTTATTTCTCCTCTGTTCTCATAAGGCACCACCATGCCCAGCTTTTCTTGTCCTTTGATTTATATTTTGGTTTGTCTTTACTTCTGGATTTTTAAAGTAGTCTTATATAGTGATAACCTATTGTTCTTCTTGCATATGTTTACAAATATTTTTTGCTATTTTGTCCTTCACACATAAGTCTTAGTTGTATTTGAATATGAAAAGGAGGGTCAGACAGTTTTGTGAGGTTTGTAACTAAAAAGAGCCATCACTTGCTATTTTTTTCCCCAGATTCCAGCTTCTCCGAAGCAATCACTTTTTACATTTTTAGCTAAATATTTTGAGATTTGTCTCCTAATCCATTAATGACATGCTTATATTGCTGCCTCTTGGGTTGTTAATTAACAACATGTTAATTAATTACGAAGCATGTTGCTAAAAGATTAGGTTTAGCCCACTTTCCTGTACTTCCATCCTGGGCACTCACATGCGTGCTGTCCTTGTCTGTCCTTCTCCAAGACCTGGGTCAAATTCTGATCCATTCCTTGTTTTTTATTATGATTGTATAAACTGTATTCACAGCTGCCTGTAAATACTGTGAGGACTCTTCTTCCGCACAACTTTTTGTTTTTCCCTGGAGTGCACAATTTTATGAATTAGCTATTCATTTACTTTTCTACATTTGTATTAATGTATTATACAGTTTTCTCTAAGTGTGTAGATATTCTCATCATAAATTGAATTTGTTACTAGGTAATAATAATAGTAGCAGTAATTGCGAACACTCAGCGTTTCAGGGACAGTTCTAATCCTCACAACTTTGTGAGGTAGATGCTGCTGTTATTCCCATTTTCCAGAAGAGAAGATGGAGGCACAGGATGAAATAATGGGTCCAAGTTTACATAGTCATCAAGCAGCCAGGCTGGGATTAACGCCAGGCAGTTTGCTCGAGAGTCTGGGCTGTCAATTCCATCTCCTTGAGGAAACCTCCCCTATTGCTTTTTTGACTTGATGTGATTGGACCCAGCTGCCCTCTTGGCATCTGATGCTCAGTCTTCTCGTGGCTGCTCCCTTCACCACCACCTGGGAATTCTTCTCTGTCAAGTGTCCGATTCCCTGCATCCTGAATACTTTGGCTTTCTCTCCCATGGTTTATTGTTATTCTCATTTTGTGGGAGTGCCTCCTCTAGGAGTTTCTTGGAGATAGTTGCATGATGGTAAATCCTGTAAGACCTTACATATCTGAGACTATCATGCCCCCAAACAAAAAACATTATATATTTATGTATTTAATATATGGTATCTATATCCAGAGAGATGTATTATATATGTATATAAATGTTTAAAATGTCATAAAAATGACATTTATTTTACCCTCACACTAAGTTGATTTTTGCCTGGGTTCAATTTATAGATTGGAAATCATTTTATTTATTTATTTAATTTTTATTTAATATTTCTTTTGTTCTTTTATTCTTTTTTTCCCCTCAAAGACATACACATCATATGAAAATCATTTTATAATTCTTGCAAAAAATGTTTCCAACTCAAGAAAGAAATAGCTGCATATTCAATTACGCATGCAGATTTTCAGATTAGATTTTGTTTTAAATGAAATGTGCTGAGTTTTAAACTTTGTATTACTAAAATTTTTAAGCATGAGCAAAAGTAGAGTAAATGGTATAATGAACCCTTGATTGATTGATTGGTTGATTTAGAGACAGGTCTCACTTTGTTGCCTGGGCTAGAGTGCAGTGGCATCATCATAGCTCACTCCAACTTCAAATTCTTGGGGCTTAAGTGATCCTCTGGCCTCAGCCTCCTGAGTATCTGGGACTACAGGCGCGTGCTACCATGCCTGGCTAATTTTTGTATTTGTTGTAGAAATGGGGTCTTGCTTATGCTCAGGCTGGTCTTGAACTCCTGGCCTCAAGGAGTCCTTCCACCTTAGCCTCCCAAAGTGCTAGGATTACAGATATGAGCCACTGTGCCTGACCTGAACCCCTTATCTTAATAATTATCAGCATAGTACCCATCCTATTTGATTAATAACTCCCATCACTAGATTATTTGAAGGCAAATCCCAGACATTGTATTACTTCATGAATATTGTATATCTCTGAGAGATGAAGTTTTTTTTTACATAACCACAAATATCATTCATATATCCACCAAATGATAATTATTTCTTAATATCATAAACACCCAAACTGTCTAAACTTGATTTTTCATGTCAGGATCCAGCCATCATCCACACATTCCACTTAGTTGAAATGTATTTTTAGTTTCTCTTAATCTACAAATGGTTTTCCTTCGTGTTTTCCTCCCTTTCTATTTCTTTCTTGAAGAAACTGCCCTTTAAATTGTGGCAGATTCTAGATTTGGCTCAGCTGCATTCACCTGGTGTCATTTTATACGGTGGACAACTATCCTTGTATTTCTGGTGAACTAGTATTTAAATCTAGACCGGCGCTGTCCAGTATGATGGCCACTTGCCACAGGTAGCTGTTAAGTACTTGAAATGTGGCTGGTTTACATTTCAAAAAAAAACTTAGTATGAAAAAAAAATGTAAAATATCTCATTGATGATTTTTAAAATATTGGTTACATGTAGAAATTATAATATTTGAATATAATGGATTGAATAAAATATAATATTAAATTGATTTCATCTGTTTCTTTTTAATATGGCTTCTAGAAAATTTTAAATTACGTACATGGCTCACATTATATTTCCATTGAACGGCTCTACTGTAGACGCTTGACCAGATTCCACTTTGATTTCTTTGTTTTTGGCAAAAATAATTCATAGTTTATCCACCATCTGTGTGCTATAAAACCATATCAGGTGTACATAATGTCTGGTTGTCTCTGTCTTTGTGATGTTAGGGTTCATTATTAGGTTCAGGTGTTGTCATCTTAATCCTTAATCATAAAGATCCCATCAGTCTTTCACCTATGTGGTTTTAGCAGTCATTGGTGATCAGTAAAAGTGATGATATTTTAATTCTTTTCTTCAGGCTGCATTTGTCATCTGTAATATTTCTATAATGAAGCTCTTTTAATCATCAATCCTTTCATTAATATTGCTTCTTATAGGAAGATCATCCTTTTAATGTGATCATATCTTATTAATATGATCATACCTCTTTCCTGAACTTAAAATCCTTAAATGACAATCCATTAATTATAATAAAAATCCGTACCCATTACATTATCAGACTGCAGCCCATTTCCTTGGAACTTGGATGCTAACCACCTTCCAAACATCACGCAATTGCCTCTCCTCTTACACAGAGCCATCTGCCGCATCCTGAATTCTCAGTGTTTTCCTACTTCTCCACTTTTATTAAAGCTCTTTTCTGGAAAATGAATTCTTTCCTCCATGCACACATCCCACATCAAACTGCTCACTTACAGTTTAAGCTTTGCCAACTCTGAGTAGCATGACCCTCTATTCCCAGGTAGAATTTGCTTGTCCCTAATTTGCTTCTCCCCAGTAGTGTGCTCTGCATCTATTTCTACCATGTTCCCTTCCTAACCCCATAGTTGAGCTTGTGTATTTACTTCTTTTCCACGTCTCTGAGTTGCTGGAAGAGTAGAAGCTTATATAGTCCTATGTTGATTCCCCAGGACCCAGCACAGCTATAGCCTGGCATGTAGTTGCTTAATAAACATCACGTTCATTATTCCTAAATTAGCTAGAGGACTTAGAAGCCATTTCTGGCCTCATTTTTGAAAAAGAATGACTGAATGAATGTGGTATACAATGGATAGCAGGATATTTCTATAAATTTTTTTATTGCTCCCAAAATACAATGTGAAACAGGTATTTAATGGGAGGCCTATATGATGTGTCATGGTGAAAAATCATCAGAAGCACATTCTTATATGGAACTTCCCCAGTTACCAGTGATGAGTAATTCACAGTGAACTGGGGTACATTGTTACAGAAATCAGTGTCGTTAGAGGACGTGACCGTGGACTTCAGCAGGGAAGAGTGGCAGCAACTGGATCCTTCCCAGAGACACCTATACCAGGACGTGATGCTGGAGATCTGTAACCACCTCATCTCAGTGGGTGAGCACAGCCAACCTGGGAATCTTGGATGGGCCTTGTTGAGATTTCCTTCTTCCTCCTTGCAGAGCACATTGGGATATCAGAAGTATGTCATGGTTTTTTCCTTGGTTTGTCCAGCAGTGCTTATTCCTTTTGGGTACCTTTGAGTATGACTTTGTGCCCAGTGGAAAATGTCAACTTTTCTGATGAGCCAGTGTAAAGCTTCATTGAATGGCCTCTAAAACCCAAATCCCATATCCTTTCCATCTAACAGGGTATCACATTCCCAGCCCAGAAGTCATCTTCAGGATAGTAAAAGGACAGGGGCAATGGATGGGGGAGGCTGAACTACCACATCAGAGGTGTCAAGGTGAGTGACTTGTACCCAGGCAGACATGGCTATCTTTGGGGATATCACTATCAGCCTACCACACTTACTCATTCCTTCTGTTCTCCCACTGGTGGACACTTAGGTTGCCTCCTACTCCCAGGTTCCATAATAAATGTGATAAATTATCTCATAAATATCCTATAGGGGCCAGTGTAAGAATTTTTCAGAGGTAGATACTTGGGAGTGGGATTGCCTGGTCATGGAGATGAGTATACTTAATTTGAATTAGTCAACCATATTGACCTTAAATGGGCTGCACAGTCTACACCCCCATTTGCACACCTTGCTTGCCAACACTTGGCATTAACCAAATTGGTTAATTTATGGCACATCTGATGGATGAAAGGGCCGTTTCATTGTTTAAATATTATTTTTCTAATAACTACATAGAGCATCTCATTATATCTCTTATCTGATTGGGTTTTCCATATACGTGTACATTGCTTTTTCATGTTGTTTTATCCTTTTCTGTCCATGGAGTTTTCTGCCTTTTTTCCTGTTTATTTGCCCTTAAATTTATTGATTTCTTTGCTGAATCTTCTTTCTTTTTTTCCCTTAATTGTGGCATCTGTACCTTGGGGTCCTATACTTCCCTGTGGTCATCTCTTCATCACAGGGGTCCATATCCACTGATAGGACCCATCCATTCTGAATACTTACTCCTCACGTTTGTATTCTGATGATTCCTATACCAACACCTCCGGTCCTGGTGCTTAAACCGAATTATGATACCTTATTTAAAGCTACATGGAGGACAGTTCTCAGGAGATGACTCAACTTCCTTAATTTCGGGAGATCAGAAATTGGAATTGTAATCATCCAAATAAGAAATTCTTATCACCCGAAAAATTTTGTCAGATTTTTTCTGTGTTTCTGAGCTCTTTCCTCTCAGTCTTCTGATTTAATTTATTATTTTGGAATTCCTATCAATTTTTCTTTTTGAATATACAATTTAGGGGACCCTTTTTCTTACTCCTAGGGGTATCACTACAAACTATCTTCCTATTTTCTTATATTTAGACTATTTTGTTGCTAATGAGATTTGTGGATTCCGGTTTTCCATGAGTTCAAGCACAATGCTACTGACAGATTTTATTACTCCAAACACTGCTATTTTGTTTCATTTTTCTTCAGTAGATAGGATGCAAACATGCAGTTATTTTCTACTATGTAAGATGAACAAACTCTTCAGTGACATTATCATCATGGCCACATATGTCCAATTTAAAAATATACCTGATAGTTTTCATCTCCATTGTTGTGATTTTTTGCTTAATATCTGCTATATAGGATAATCCACTTTGCATGTGGCCTGTGGTTATTTGTACTTTCCCTACTTAATCTTTATTATGTCAGTGTTGAGCATGAGGAAACCATTTAGAATACAAAAATTGTTGAATTTCTGAAGATAGAAAATAATATTTTACACTATTTTAGAAGGATATTTTAAATATCTGTTGAAGTAAATTCAAAAGAAAAGAGACTGCAGTTGGACAGAGAGGACAATGGCATGAAGTATGAAGAGTCTTTGTGCATTAATCATGTCTATTTCATGGAAGGCTACTCAAAAAATGAGTATATCAAAATGTGAAGTATAGAGGGTGACTGCTTGCGAAGTTCAGAGAAAATAATGTCACCTGGAGGTGGAGCGACATTGGGGGTTAATTTTAAGGGCGCAGTACCTATAACTGGTCCACAAAGCCATTTTGAAGGGGAACAATGAAGCAGACAAAGCAGGCTTAATGGGAGTAGAGGACATGAGTATGTGCTTGGATTTGGGAATACATTGGGTGTTTTTTGCATTGTTAGGCTGTGTTGGAGAGTTATGGAAAAGCTTTTCAGCACAGTTCTGATAGTTTGCATTAAACATTTTTGGCAGTAATTTAAATATTATCAGATTCAGTAAGATCTAAATGAATTGAATTTTTATGATCTAAATGAATTGAAAAGTTAAAAATAGTCCAAATCTGTGGCTGGGGACACAGAGTGTAAGATACCTGGAATAAATGAAAGCCAGTGTACGGGTAAAATTGCTATTCAAGAGTGAAAAATGAAACAAAACAAAAAACCTGATTAAAAAATGAGAAAAGGGCATTTCCTCAAAGATGATATACAAATGGCCAAGAAGCATAGGAAAAGGTGCTCAATACCACTAATCACTTGGGAAATGCAGATCAGAACCACAGTGTGATATCACTTCACACCCATTAGAATGACTACTGTTAAAAAACAGTGGATAGCCAAGCAGAAACACTCCCAAGAATGGAAGTCCCTGATCATCTTAACAAATGTTGGCAAGAATGTGGAGAAACTAAAACCTTGTTCATGGCTGGTAGGGATGTAAAGTAGAGCAGCCACTATGGAAAACGATATGGTGATTCCTCAAAAAATTAAACACAGAATTACCATATGATCCAACAATTCTATTTCTGGGTAGATAGCCAAAAGATTTGAAAGCAGGGGCTTGAACAGATATTTATATGCCCATGTTTAAAGCAGCACTATTCGCAATAGCCAAGAAGTGGAATTTTCCACTAATGGATGAATTGATAAACAAAATGTAGTATATACATATAATGGAATATTATTCAGCCTTAAAAAGGAAGGAAATTATGACACATTCTGCAACATGGATGGATCTTAAAGGCATGCTAAGTTAAATAAGCCAGACATAAAAGGACAAGTGCTACTTATATGAGGTACCTAGAATAATAAATTCATACAGAAAATAGAATAGTGGTTGCCTCAGTCAGAGGCTGAGGGAGAAGACGAAAAGGGGAGTTGTTTAATGGGTATGAGATGTTTTGCAGGATGTGAAAGTTCAGGAGATCTGTTGCATAACAATGTGAATATACATAACGCCACTGAACTATACATTAAAAAGTGGATAAGATGGTAAATGTTACGTGTTTTGTGCCCATGATAAGAAAATGTTAACAATAAAGATTAAAAGTGTTCTCATTTTCTAAAAAGTGAAAAATGATTGAGGTTTCTTGACAGGACAAGAGTGAGATACTGTCTAAGTGACTGAAAGAGAAAAACTGAATGCGATGGTCATTTAATACTAGGTAGTTAAATCTGGTAGAAAAAAATAATAGTAAAGTTTCATAACTATTATTTTTACTGAGAATCTGCTGTGTTTCATGTGCTATACTAGTAAATTAGATGATTAGGGACTCCCATTCTTGGCAGGAAAAAAAAAAGGGATGCTCTGTAGCATAAAGCTAAAAGTTCTAAAAGAGAGCAGTTAACTTCTATAGAAAAAGGATGAAACAAATTCTAGGGAACAGCTCATTTGTCTAGTCTTCCAATATACCTTTCTGGGGATATGAGTATATTCCTAGGTTCAAGAAAAAAAACAAAACGCTGCAGCTTCGTGGAGCTGTAGCTGGGACATAAGCATTCTTTTACTGCTTGGCCATGCCAGGATAAGGGAAGCTTTAATAGTTTTCCAAAGGTTATAGAAGGCTGATGGGTTTGGCACAAATGAGAGAAAGCAGGGAGATTGGTGAGGATTTAGATCTGAAAGCTAACGAAGACCTGTACACTGGGCCCCCTCCTTCAAGCCTTGGCTGTCCACCAATGTTGCCGTATAACAGTGATGTTGCCTTGTCTCATCTTCTGTTTATCCTACTAGGTCTGGGCATCTAGACTGCCTGTGTAAGTGGAGTTAGTTTGCCTTTGTTTAACCTTCCCACAGGTTAGCAAAGTGATCTTGGCCAGTTATGTGACCATGATGTACCTCCTTTTCTTTATTTGTAAAATGGGAACACTAATCGTAGCTACCTCCTGAGGTTATTATGAGGATAAAATGAGTTTATGTGTGCCTCACATAGGCCATTGCCAGGCACATGCAGGTGCTATAGAGATCAGTGTTTGGCATATGATAAGGCATATAAGAAGTGTTTCTGCTCATTGTCACCATCATCAGCACCATTATTACATGACTCAGCAATTTCCCTGTGTTCAGTGTCAGTTAGTGCCATACAGTTTTTGCTCTATCCTATTCATTATGTCTGTTTCATCTTCTCTTTCTCCTTCTAGAAGGGAAGTTTGGGCTTGAAACCCCACAACAGGAAATTCCTGAGAAAGCTTCGTTTCAAAAGGATATAGTGGGTGAAGTCACAAGAGATGGTTCATGGTGCTCCATTTTAGAAGAACTGTGGCAGGATGCTGACCATACAAAGAGAGATCAGCAAAATCAAATCCAACCCACGCGTCATGGTGCTGTCTTCAACAAGAAAACATTGAACACAGAGAGAGATTGTGACTATAAGGACGCTGGGAAAATCATTCACATGAGGCCCCACCGTGTTTCTTCACAAAGATCTCAGAAATGTTGCTCATTTGAAAAGAGTTTGAAGCCTAACCCAAAAGTAAATGGTCAAAATCAAAGCAATGCCACAATACAGCTTGATGACATTGTTGAATCTGATCAGCTTTTCACTCATAGCTCTTCTGTTGCTTACAGCAAGAATATTCATACAGGAGAGAAATTCTGCAAAGGTAATCAGTGTAGAAAAGTCTGTGGCCATAAACAGTCATTTACACAACACCAAAGTCATGCTCAGGAGAAACTGAGTGAATGTACTGAATGTGGGAGGGTCTTCACCCAGAAATCACACCTCCTCACCCAACAGAGAATGCATGGTGCAAAATATCTCCATGAATGCAGCAAATGTGGAAAAGCCATCACCCCACAACCAAAACTCAGTGTATATCTGACAGATCATACAGGTAATGTACCCTATATATGTCAGGAATGTGGGAAGGTCTTCATTCAGAAATCAGAACTGATAACACACCAGAAAACTCACACTAGAAAGAAGCCCTATAAATGCCATGAGTGTGGAAAAGCCTTTTTCCAGATGTTATCTCTCTTAAGACATCAGAGAACTCACAGTAGAGAAAAACTCTATGAATGCAGTGAGTGTGGCAAAGGCTTTTCCCAGAACTCGACCCTCCTTGTACATCAGAAAATTCATACTGGTGAGAGACAGTATGCATGCAGTGAATGTGGGAAAGCCTTCACCCAGAAGTCAGCACTCAGCTTGCACCAGAGAATCCACTCGGGGCAGAAGTCCTATGTGTGTATTGAATGTGGGCAGGCCTTCATCCAGAAGGCACACCTGACTGTTCATCAAAGAAGTCACACTGGAGAGAAACCTTATCACTGCCACAACTGTGGGAAATCCTTCATCTCCAAGTCACAACTTGATATACATCACCGAATTCATACAGGGGAGAAACCTTACGAATGCAGTGACTGTGGAAAAACCTTCACCCAAAAGTCACACCTCAATATACACCAGAAAATTCATACTGGTGAAAGACACCACGTATGCAGTGAGTGTGGGAAAGCCTTCAACCAGAAGTCAATACTCAGCATGCATCAGAGAATTCACACCGGAGAGAAGCCTTACAAATGCAGTGAATGCGGGAAAGCCTTCACTTCTAAGTCTCAATTCAAAGAGCATCAGCGAATTCACACAGGTGAGAAGCCCTATGTATGCACTGAATGTGGGAAGGCATTCAACGGCAGGTCAAATTTCCATAAACATCAAATAACTCACACTAGGGAGAGACCTTTTGTCTGTTACAAATGTGGGAAGGCTTTCGTCCAGAAATCAGAGTTGATTGCCCATCAAAGAACTCACATTGGAGAGAAACCTTATGAATGCCGTGACTGTGGGAAATCATTCAGTAAGAAACCACAGCTCAAGGTGCATCAGCGGATTCACACGGGAGAAAGACCTTATGTGTGTTCTGAATGTGGGAAGGCCTTCAACAACAGGTCGAATTGCAATAAACACCAAACAACTCATACCAGAGATAAATCTTACAAACGCAGTTATTCTGTGAAAGGCTTTACCAGGAAATCAATTCCTAGTGCATCAGCATATTCATAAATGAAAGATACTCCCTGAGTTTCTTGATAAGAGTCAGATCTAATTGTGATAGATTCATGCTTCAGAAATTCTGGAAATGCTTTTCATATATAAACACATCATAAAGTCACACATTATTTTACATGAGGGAAATTACCTAGAAAAGAATTTCGAAGAATAAGTGGAAGTGTCCTTAATTTGTACTAGCCTCATTAAGTGTTAGAAATTTCATCCTGAGAAGAAACCCTGACTAATATGCGTTGAGAAAAGCCTTTCTACAGAAAATGGTACAAGACAGATTATTGCCAGATTATTTATAGGAAAGTCCTGTTTATTGTGGGATATCAATATTTTAAAGTGCCAGCAAAATAACGATAGGGCGATGTTATGTACATATATGGGTGTCTTATGTATATATGTCTTTTGTATACAGGTTGAGTATCCCTTCACCAAAATGCTTGAGACCAGAAACGTTTCAGATTTTCAATTTTTTTTTGGATTTTGGAATATTTACATTACACTTACTGGTTGAGCATCCCTAATCTGAAAATCCAAAACTGAAAATGCTACAATGAGCATCTCCTTTGTGTGTCATACTGGCACTCAAAATGTTTTAAATTTTTGGAGTGTTTTGGATTTTCAGATTAGGCATACCCAACCTGTATGGATATTTATATATCTGTGTATATATAAGATATATTAATATATGTATATGGTCTGCTCAGCATAGTGTGTATATGTGTATATGTATATATATTAATATATATGCCCTTAGTAGGGTTTGCTGAAGAATTCACTACATAACAGGAGGTGTAGGTAGATGACAGCTTTTTTTACGAGTCTAAAGTAATTGTGTTTATCAAATTCTCTATTGAATATTTATATCATGAGGTATCAGCAATAATTATTCCTTTATTATACAGACACATGAATGTACATTACGGTTTTTGGTAGATGCATAAATGAGATTCTATATTGTATACTGTCTTCATACCGTAGCTTTTCTTTTATGGTTAGCTCAGCTCTACCCTCCCTTTTACTTCCATCTCCACTGTCTGTTGTGAGCCTCTTTATAGATAATCGGTGCCAACCATTTAGTCTGGACTTGTTCATACTTTTATACAAGCTGCTAACTATATATAACAGGAAACAGCAAACTGTGGCCTCTGGCCAAATCTGGCCTAGCAACTATTTTGCCCTTTTTTTTTAGAGGACACGGTCTGGCACACAAGAAATAATTAACAAATACTGAGTTCAACCCTCGAGAGAGACTCAGACACCCAAGATTTGTCTCCAATCACCCTTCACTCTCAATCCCCGCTTCCTCATCAAGGGCCTCACAGGAGTACGGACGACACGGCAGAATGTGCAGGAGAACGGGCAGTTTAGGAGTTGGAAGGAACTTGAGGGCTTGCGTCTGGGGAGCGGGTCTCTGGAGGATTCTTGGGAGAATGCTCCGTTCCTTGGTTTGGGGAGCTTGTCTCGCAGGTCTCACCTGCCCTCCATCCTGACTGTCTTCTACTGCAACCGGCCGGGGGCGCGAGCATGGGTCACAGACCAACGCCTGCGCGTAACTGTCCACGGGTCGGAGTCCCGAGCCCAGCGCACGCGCAGAGCTGTGCGAACGGCTCCCTCTCAGCTCCGCGCATGCGCAGACAGCCCGGCCCGCGCCCCTCCGTCTGCGTGCGCATCCACGCCCGCGCCTGCAGGGGGCGCGCGCGAAGCCGGCTCAGCATCCGCTTGACGTTTGTTCACCGCAGGCGCTACCTGTCCCTTTCACACCCCCGATCCCTTTCTCCGCCGCTCCCCCAAACTCCTATACTCCCACAAGAGCAGAAAATCTAAAAAATATCCATTCCATCTTTGGAACAAACTGCTCGGTAGGCACCTCCCGGCAGTCCGCAGAAATCAGACGCCGCTCGTGTTCTTGCGCAGACGTAGACGGGAAACGGGCCGGGCCGGCCTAGTGCACTCTGGGAGCCGTTGGCGGAGTGTGGGACGTTGCCGCGAGGATCGCCGGGAGCTGTGGGCTCAGTTTGTCCGAGAGCAGTAAGCGTTTGGGGCCGAGCCACCGCTCGGGCTCCTGGGAGTCGTAGGCAAGTTGTCCCAAAGCCTCCTGGGAGTTGTAGTCCTATCACCAGATACCGCATTTCCTTGGACCCTGGACCTTCCAAGGCTGGTTCTGCCCAGGTGAGCGCAGCATCCTGCGGCAGGCCCGTCCTGGCCCTTTGTCACGCTGCAGTGTAGGAGTTGAGGGTTTCTCGTTTCTCTCCCACGCATTCTGGTAGGTGTCCCCGGAGAGATACCACTCTTGTGACCCTCCATCGCCTCTCTCGGGGCGGGAGTGCCCTAAGCAGCTGTCGTACTTGCGGATTCGCTTTGGACTCTGAGGATCAATCTGAGTCCTTGCCCTTCAACCTGTCCTGGTTACAACCCAGAGTTGTAGCCCCTCCGGGGCTGGCCCGCGGGGACGCTGAGGCGGCTGTGGGAGCCCAGAGGAGGTGGTAGACCCAGCCCAGGGTTCAAGGAAGACTTCCCAAAGCAAAGGACCACACATCTGTCATGTCCAAACAAAATTCCGGATTCTCTGTCCTAAACCTGCTCGTCAGTCTTTCTGCCTCCTCCCCATCTTCCACCTCCTCCTCACTAAATGGGCCCACTGTCCTTCCGAGTGCTCAAGCCAAAACCTTGAAATTGTCCCCAGGAATCCTGTTTCTGTCATACTCTTCCTTCCCCCAACCAAGTCTTTTTTGAGTGCCATCGGCCTATCTCCAGAAAAGATCCAGAATCCACTTCTCTCCACTTCTGCCTCCATTCTGCCCTGAGGCACCAGGTGCTCACCTGGACCACTGTAGGAGCCTCCTCACCGTCCTGTCTCTGCCTTGCCACCTTCCACCCTCTCTTCACACAGAGCACGAGGGACCCAGTTAAAATATAAATCAGAATCTGTCGCTCCCAGCTGAATTGTGAATGGTTCCCATCTCATTCAGAATAAAATTGAAGCTCCTTACTCCTGCCAACCTCTCAGCCTGTGCCTCTCTGGTCTGCAGCGACAACACACTTTCGACTCATTTGAACACCGCCAGGCCCTGCCCTTCAGGTCCTTTGCGTTTGCTTTTATTAATGATTCTATTTGGAACATTCTTCTCACATTGATCTAATGTCTGGCTCCTTCTCGTCCTGCTGGCTTCATTCAGCTCAGAGGTCGTCTCTGACGACTCCGGCTTAAGAAACCCCTTCCGCATTCCCTCACAGTCACACCACCAAAGTAACTCCTCATATTATCCCTGATGTTTGGAAAGCATCTTGGTTATTTACTTGCTTATGCACGGCTAGGTTCCTCCATTAGAACATTAGTGCCATGAGAGCTACCACCTTTCCTATCTTGCTCACTGCTGCCCCCAGTACCTAGAGCATGTTGGGTACGTAGGAGGCACTCAGTGGATATCTGTTGAATAAATGAATGTTTGAACTTTGAGCTGAGACTTGAAGATAAGAGCCAGGTCTTCACATCATTCAGGGAAGAGCGTCCCAGGCAATGGAATCAGCCAGGCCAAAGGTGCAGGGGTTGAAGTTCATCTGGCTGAGGTGGGTGGGACCAGACCACAAAGGGCTCCAAAGACCTCAAATATCCATGGGCTCAGGGTGGGGAGCTAAAGCAGGGTTTCCGGCAGGGTTGGGACTGGATCCACTGAGGAACTCAGGAGGTGAACCTCAGGACTAGGTGATTGTGGATTTAGAGGTTGAAAAAGAAGAGTCCTGTTCTGCTAAGAAGCTGGGTGGAAGGTGGTGCTGCTCTCAGGAGACAGGGAGAGGCTCAATAAGACTAAATTTTTGCCGTGGGGGCTGGGGCTGGTCAGTTTGGGCACTGAGCAGATGTGAGAGAAGGCCCAGCGGGGATCTTCAGTGAGGCATTTGAAGGACCAGGCTGGCGGACATCGCAATTCAGAGTCATCCACAAGGAGAATAAGAAGAGGGGTGCTGGGCAGGACCTGGGGACCACGAAGAGGCTTCCCCCAAAAGAGATTAAGTGGGAAGAAAAAAACAAGGAGAGAGAAGAGGGAAGACTGAATCAAAAGCTGGGAGAGAAAGGATTTCAAAGGCGACATTGTTCAGCTGTGACAGATGTGCCTGTTGTCCACCGAGGGCAGTTTGCTGGGCTCAGCGACAGGGAAGAGAACTCTGGGCAAAGGGAAGAGCCAGGGCAAACACCTGGCGGCAAGAGTGTTCCTGGGGTGCGGAGAGCAGACAGCCACGTGGCTGAAGGGGAGGGGGAAGAGGCGAGATCAGAGGGAAAAGGAGCCAGATCCTCACCGGCACCAGCACGTGCTAAGTGGGATGAGACCCATGGGAGGATGTCGAGAGGATCCCACAGCCTCTACTGCTCATTCTCACACATGTAATTACAACCTGACACGTGCTACTAAGGGAAACTACACAGACTTTACGAGTTTGTCACAGGGGGTCCTAGTGAAAAGAAAAAGATGGGAATTGAAGAAGACCTCCCTGAGTGAGCAGGAATAGAGCATGGCCTGCCTCCCCCTCTGTCTCCTTTTACTTGGAATTGTTGGAGCATCTCTCTCAGGAGGATCAAGCGGTCAAGACCTACCTGAAACTGAATCTTCTCTTTCTTTTGGCCCCTGGCCCAGGCCTGGTCACGTAAGAAGCCTCAAGAAGGGAAGGCTGAACTGAAACTCATCTGTGAGGATGCCTTTTATGGTCAGAAGCTACAACTGAGAATTGGGGCCCTGGCTCTAACACTAGATTTAGGTATGATGTTTGTGGTTTTTCTGGTGTCACTTTGAGTTCAGAGACACTTGACTTGAATGTGTCTCTTTGCCCATTCTGAGGTTTCCCACGAGCCCTTCACTCACACCTTCAAAATAAGTTTTGACTTATAAACAGTCCCTTCAGCCACACGGGCCTCCCATCTTCATTTGTCAAATCTTTCCCTCTCTTTACCCACAACCTTTTTTCCCTGACCTCGCCTGGCCTGTGCTGCCCCTCACAGCAACTCTCTCCATCGTGTGGTCCACTGAGGCCACAGAATCCTTTTGCCAATATGAGTACTTACTATTCATGTAGAATAAAGGAAAACTTAGAATTTATTTCTGTGACCCCTCAGCTCCAAATATAACTTCCCAACCAGCCTGCTGATAGATACTTCATTTTTTCATTTGAGCTGAATCAGAATTTGGCATAGAGCCCAACACAGAAAAGGATCACAAATCATGTTCTGTATTCCAGAGCTCCATAACAGTACAAAGAAGGGATTAAAAGCAATAACAAAATATCAACCCACTGGAAAGTGAGGGTAGGAAGGAGAGGAGCCTCACACAGAGAAGGTTTTCTGCAAGGGGTGAGGGTAGAGTCAGCCCTGAGAGGCAAGGGACCCAGTGGCCTTGAGAGATTCACTGTCTAGTTGAGGCTAAGTCCTCTCTTCCCAAAATTAGGGGAGTTTCAGAGGGAGACTGAGGAGAAGTCTGGATGCCCTCTGACCAGCACGTCTCTCTTGCAGGACAGAATGTCTCCAACCCTATTCTCCAACCTTCTTACCTGTGCATCTAAAACAGGCCAGAGTCCTGCCCCCAGGGGGCGCTCCAACCACCATGCCCTACCCGGGGAGCCATTAGCACTAAGGTTGGCGCTGTCCATGGTTCTGGAGCAGAGCTGGGCTCTGAGTTCAGGAAACTCCCAACTGTGCTGTGGATTCAAATTCACAGGGCCAAGGTCCTGAGCCTTAGGTCAGCAGGGTATCTAAGTCAGAGAGGCTTTGAAAAGGCTGAGTTCCCTCTTGGAAAGGAGGGTCAGGGGAGGGACTCATTTTTGTGCTTTCCCTCCCACCCCTCTTGTTGACCTAAGGATCATCCCTGGTGCTAGCCTGGCTAAGTGACAGGGAAGAACAAGGCATTTTTCTGAGGTTCCAAATTACGCTGATGTTGCTGGTTGATGGATCAAAGTGTGGTCCAGGCCTGCGTCTCCCTTCAGATAAGAGACTAGGAAAAAGATGGATCCGTGCCTGGATCTCCCCTCAGGTAAGGGACTAGGAAAAGGAGGGATATTCACTGAAGCTCCCCGAGTTCCAGACTCAGGGTTGTGTGTGCCTTTGTGTATATTGCCCCATTTGTTCCTTATGATCAGTCAGAGAGAGGGTTGGTTAATAATGCTCCTTTGACAGAGTGGGAAACCAAGACTTGATGTGGTATTTCTCATTTCTATGGAGATTTTTGATAAGAAGAATGAGGTTTTATTAAATTTTTGTCATAATCTCTTTTAAGAAAAATTATTTTTTCTTCAAAATTTTCAACAAAAGATGACTATCAGGACATAAGACATTTTCTAGCTTGCAATATTTTTACGTACATTTGCCATTCACATTGTGTAATCATCTCTTAGGCTGAGAAATAGAACAGGAAATCACACCAGGAATGCTGGAACCCCTTCGTGTTTCATCCTGTCCAAACTTCTTCTCTATGAGCTACCAGGTGGTACCTTACTGATATTTGGGATCATCTTTTTTTCCTACCTTTGCCTATCAGCATAATACCTGTGTATGTATGTATGTTGGAACAAGAATGGTTGCTTTCAAACTTCATATAAACAGAACAATGTAGTAATGAGTATTTTGTATGATCAAATAGGTCTACACCAGCTTTTTTCAAAATTAATGTTGGCATAATATACAATGTGATCTCCTTTTACTTTTGACCTTCTCTATCCTTATGCTTTAGATGCATATAATGTAAAAAACGTATAGTTAGAATATTAATCCAAGCTGATTGGATTTTTAATCCAATCTGTTTTTAACAAAAGCATTTATCTGATCACTTTTAGTGTGCCACCATTCTACATTACTTTATCTTTCCATTCTTGTTTTTTTTTCCCTTTTTGGTTTTTTACAGTACACTTTTAACTACTACTAGGTTATGTTATACATTATGATTCTATTCTTTCAGTCATTACAATAAAAATTATAGCATGCATAATTAACTTATCAAAGTCTTTAGTAAATGAAAACTGCTCTGTCCTCCCGGATAATATATAGATGTTGGGAAATGAAAAATGTACTTACTCCACTTTGTACTTAGCTGTTATTATTGTCAGGAATTCTAAAAACTATCTCTTTTTTTTCTTCTACAAGTAATAAACTCCCCCATTTGTTTGCTCCAAAAGACCTTTATTGCGTCCTTGTTTTGAGTTATCTTTACTGAGCGTAGATTATAAATTGATGTTAGAGATACTGTTTGCTCCCTTCTACTCTCTGTCGTTGCTGCTGATAATTTAGCTGTCGATTAAACTGCCCGTCTTTTGAAGGTAATCTGTCTTTTTTTTTCTAGTGGCTTTCAGATTTTCTCCTTGTCTTTGGTTTCCTTTGACTTACCCTTGCTCGATACAAACTCAATGGGAGGAAGGTCCCCATGACATTTCCTGCCTTGGCCTGTGCCATAGCCTTGACTTTCATTTCCAGGGCCACACGCGAGACCACAGAACCAAAGCTCACGTTTTCGGTATGGGCAAATGCCCTTGGGAATTTTGGCGTTTGGTTTAGATATCCTGCTTGATTATCTGGGTTCAGGCTTTCCCCTAAATTTTAGCCTGGTAAGTATAGGTATTTAGGTATTCTATACTTTTCAAGTGAAGGATTTTTTTTCTATTCATTTTTTTTTCCCCAAAGGATTTGATTTTTTCAATGCAAGTCTTGATCAAAATCATCTCAACGCAATTCCCTATGGTTTTGAAAATGGGGTTTGGGTGGTGGGTATTGGGAATCGATGCCATCCCAGCACCACACTGGGATTATCCACTCCTTTCGTCATCACCACTTTCTAAAGTTCAGAGAACGACACTGTTGTTTACCTGGGTTTGGGTGCTGCTGGAGAACTTTTGGCTGATTTTGCTTTAGTGCTTTTTTTTTTTTAATTAGATCAGTTCAACTTTACATGAGGGAGAAAATGAGCTCTTTTTCAGTCCACCCTTTCAACCCAAGAGCATCTATGAACTCATGTGTGATGGACAAGGTGGTGTGAGCCAAACAAGAGCGAGGTGGCGTGGCTTCCCCAGGAGGGACCTCAAATTGCAAAGTGTGTGGTGTGAACAGGCATGGAAGGCTTAAGGAAGGGTGGGCCAAGAGGAAAGGATGAAATGAGTAGACAGCAGGGAGATCATAAAGGACTTTAAATGCCGAGGGGTGGTGTTTGTGATGTGTTTGTGATATGTTGTCTAAGGCCAGGGAGCCATGAATGGGTTTGGGCAAGAAAGAGTGAGTCAGCTCTTTGGCTACTGGAAAGATCCCAGTGGGTCCCATGAATGAGACAGGGAGGGACTCGGGGTAAGGGGATCTCCTGGAAGGATTGGCAGGTGAAACGGGACAAGGAGATGACCCCGGAGAGGACACATTAATCAGATGACACATCATGAACCGAATGCCAGGCTGGGGAGCTGGTCTTTCCTGGGGAGTCTGTGAAGAGTTCTGAGACGTGGGGTGATGTCAACACATTGCTGCCCTTTTCTCTGTGCCTGATCACCCCCAGCCTCAGGACAACTTGTCAGGAGGACCTTTCTGTTTGAGGAAGAGAGACCAGCAAGCACTGAACACACACTACGGGCCAGGGCCTGTGTTGGTTGATTTCCATGTGTTGATTTCTTTAATGTTTACAACAACCTTTCAGGTAAGACACATGATCTCTGATTTACAGGACAGGGAATTGAGGCCCAGAGAGAGGAAGTGAATTGCTTGATAACAAGGCCTTAGAAAGTGCTGGAGCCTCAGTTTGAGCCCATCTCTCTAGTTCCGTCAACCGTCTTTGTTCTGCTCTACCTGGGAACACTCCTACCGTAGTTAATGTTAGTATTGTCACAAGGGCTCTTTGTGCTTCAACAAAGGACCCTAACTGGTCCTTTCCCCCAGACGGGCTGCGATTCCTCCCGCCAGGGCTGAGTTCTGGGCGAGTCCTCACTTGCTTGTCTTGATCTCTGAGTACTCTGTGGTGCCTCTGGCCTTCTGGTCCTGCGGCTCCCTCCCGTCCGTCTCCTGAAAGCTGATGGAGGCGTAGTACAGCTCCTGCTCTCCCGGGGGGTGGGCGTCCCCTGCGGGGGACTCTTGGTCCGGAGGGCTGTCTGGCCAGGGCTTTTGCCTAGAACCCTGAGTAGAGGGGAGAGAAAGGAGTCACGGCAGGCACACAGACGCAGGCGTGGTGTAGTGAACTCTTATAATTTTATGTGGCTTCAGCATTCATTTAGAATGTAAGTTGGACTTGCTCGTACCAGAAGCAGGGCTTAGTTACCCTTGAGACACTTTCTAGTTCTCTCCTTTTCCCCAGTTCCTCAAAGTGGCTAATTCAGATATTTGCCTTATACAACCACCCCCTGGTGACCACCTCCCTATGGGACGGCTGGATACAACCTACCTGACTCAGCCCCCAGCCCCACACCCCTCCCCGCTGCCCAACTCCGCTGTAGTGACCACCTCTCAGCACAGCGTGACTCCCGGGAACTGACCCTGACTGCTCTCCACCCACCAACCGGAGCTCCCTGTGGGAAGCCTGCTGGAGTGACACCCTGGACTCCAGTTCAGGATTCGCCTACGGATTCCCTCCGCCACTGGCTGAGCGCGTGTCCCGGACAGCTCCTCCCTCCTGCTGGCCTGTGAGGGCTCTGCCTTCTCTCTGAGATCTGCAAGGAATAAACTGCTTCTGTTCTTTCGTGTCTTGTCGTGTTGCCTCCTCTGCGTGTCACCTGACCAACACCCCCTAACCTAACTTCCTTCCTGGTCGGGGCTCTCCTACAGAATAGTTTTCTTGGTAGAAATAAAATGGGCCCAGATCGCACAAGAGCCTGGAGGGCATCTGCCAGTACAAACAAGTTTCCTGTGAGAGGGACGCCTGGTCATGGCTGAACACTCAGGCATTTCGCCGTCTGCCAGGACAAAGAAGTGTTCTGTGAATGGCCCATGGTGGACATTCAGGACAAAATCCTTTGTGTTCCCGTCGGGCAGGGCTAGAGTTTATGACCACTCTCCAGAGAGAGGCCTCAAGAGAAAATGCAACACGTGGTCCCCAGGGGGAAGTTGGGCTGATGCGACATTATCTCGTCTTCCTTTTATTCCACGTACATTTCCTATGAACTCAACTATCCACTCACGCATTTAAAATTCCGTCATACTATGATTTACCAGACCATACTGAGGGCTTACTAACCACATTGCATCCTAACGAAACAACAGTATGAAAGACACTGTAATTGTCCCTACCTTACAGGTGGGGAAACTGAGGTGGAAAGAGGGTAGGTAGCTTGGCCAAGGTCTCTCATCTAGTAAACGGTGGGTCCCGAATTCAGCCCAGCCGATCTCCCTGGCGCCAGGTCCTGGGCTAGGGGCCAGGTGTACAGTGTGACACAGACGCTGACCTAGGCAGTTTACAGTCTGGTAGGAGGGGTGGATTATAGACGGAGCAAATTCCTACCTTCAGCTACATTATCAGATGTTTTATGTGCAAACTAGAAAAGAGATGGCAATTCTGGAATCTGGACGCAGGTCCCACAAAACAGAAACAAAACAGAGCAGAGCCCAAGTCCCTAAGCAAAGATGGCGCACACACTGGTAAGCAACCCCCTTCCCTCTCCCACCTCCGCCTGCTCCCCTACCCATCACGCTAAGGAAATGTATGTTGAAAGCAACAGTAGCCTTCAAATAGTAGCTCAGATTTTTTTTGAAATAAAAGGATTCCAGGTCAGGAAAAAAATAGTTTCACAATGTCAGCAAAAAAGTACAGGCAAGACGAAATGACAAAGTAGCTAAATGCAGTGATATTACTGCAGGCAAAGAGAGGAGAATGAGGACACGTGTCCATCGGCAGCCTTACAGTATATGAAAAAGGGTTAAATTGATAACCGTAAGACAAGATTCATGTCAGATTAATACGGAGGATAAAGCAACATATTCACTCTTTTACTCAATAACTCTTTGCTGAGAGCTTGCTGTGTGCTAGGTGCTATTCTTGCAAATGAAGACACAAGAGGGACTGAAATAGTCCAAAACACCTGTCCTCATGCCGTTCCTCATTAGAGGAGGGGAACAGTAACACCAGGTAACAGTTGTAAGAGAGCTCCCTGTGAGCTGGGCACTCTTCTGAGCACTCCTTATAACAATCCAGTGACACAGGAATCCAGCATCTTAATGTCCCATTTCCAGAAGAGAAAACAAAGAAACAGAGAGGTCCATTAGCTTATCCAAGGTCACACAGCTCACAAATAGGTGAATCCAGAACCTGAATGCAGGACGTCAAACTCCGGGGACTAGGCTGTGCGAATCGCTTTACCATTCTGCCTCCTGTACAAAATGCACAGAAGGGTTAAAGGAAAGTGATGGGAAAAACCAAAGCTCTCTCTACCATAGTTCTTGTCAAGGTAGTGAATCCACACGTGTTACTGGCTCTCTTCTCCAAGATCCAACAACAGAGGAACTAAGGAAAGAACTCTTGGATGAACAAACTTTCATAAATCGGTCAGTGATTGGCCAATCAATCACACTGAAATCCCTGGGGGAAAGGGAGGGCTAGTTTGAACAAATGGGGTGGGAGCGCTGGGGAAGCTGCTGCGTGGGTGGGGCAGCTGGCTTGTCGATGAGATGGGTTACCCCAAACACACTTGAATTATGCTCCTTTCTCTTCTCTGCCCTTGCCTTGGGACGATGACTGGCTGCCCCCTCGCTGCGGAATTCAGAGTATGGGCAGGAATGATGTTCAGGTGTCCACGAGGCACGTGTTGGACAAGCACCCAACGCCCACCAGGGAGAGGAGAAGAACAGAGGTTGGGGTCTCACTGCCCTTTGACCTCCTCATTGCCATTTTCTCCACTCCAAACTCCCCAGGCTGGTGAATCACGATCCAAGGAGAGCCTCTGTCCAGTGACCCTTCTCCATGAAGGTCTGAAGGTGAAGGGGTGACTTAAACTGCCTTCTTGAGGTGACAGGAAGTGGGAGTGGCTGGCCATAGCTCTGGTTCCTGGGGTGCTCTACCCTGGGGCCTGTCCCCATCTCTCCTTTGAGCTCAGCAAGCCTGACACAGGCCAGCATCTGCCCTTCACCCCCATTCAGTAAACACCGCCAGACAGAGGAGCCCGAGCCCAGGCGGGATATGAGCTCACAGCCCAGAAGACTGGGCGACTTAGGAGAAAAGCAAACCAGTGGAACCTCACAGACCACCCGAAGCACAGGTGTTAGAACGCTCGATCAAGAATTTAAACTACGCATACTAAATGCACTGAAAGACTTAACGTGCTAACATTAGCAGCATGAAAACAGGCATAAAAATTTACACCAATAAAGTGTGTAAAATGAATGTGAAACATAAATAAGAAATTATGCAATTATGTACTTTACGCAAAAAAGGCCATGTGGAAATATTCTGTGTGAGAAACATAATAGGGATAGCACAATGGATGGAAGGAAGAATAGAGTGAATATAACGGAGGGCTAATTAGTGAGCTGGAAGGGCCGTTTGGAGTAACCCCTATAAGGAAGTAGGGAAGGGTGAGGAACAGAACATATGGAAAAAGGTTAATTTAGATGGAGGATAGAAACAGAAAACTTCAGGATTCAGATAAGGATATCTTTAAATGAGATAAGAATGAAATAGAAAATGAGGAACTATTTGGAAAAAATAGTGGAAATAACATTTCCAGAATTAAAGAAAGATGAACCACCTCAGCTGAGAGGGCAAGAAAAAAGATGAGGGAAATCCCACACCCAGATACAGTATCGTAAATCTTAAGAATGTCAAAACCAAAGAGAAAGTTGTAAAAGTTGTCGGGGAGAATGAGGAGATCACCTACAAATACGTGAGATGCGGCACGACGGGAGATTTCTTAATGGCAATACTGGCGGCAAGGCACAGTGGAGTGAAGTTTAGGAAAATCACTTTGATCCTAGAATTTCTATCCTGCCAAATGAAATTCAAATGCAGGCGCGTAAAAAAATATCTTCAGACACACAAGTCCTCGGAAGCCTCGATACAGAGAAATCTCAATTGAAAACACACTGGGAGGAAGAATGCAAATAAAAAACGAAAAAATCCAGGAAATTCTGGGACAAGTATAAGATAGAAAGGTGACAAAATGCCTCAGTAAAATGTGCAGCTGTGTATTTTTTTAAAAGACCAAAGTGTAGAAAAATGTTAAGTATGTTCATAATAGCTCAGAATGAAAGCTGCACATCTATAGAAAATATCAAGATTATAAGGAGTGGAGGGAGATGGGACCAAGAGATATAAAAACATACCAATGTCTTTTTATTAGTAAGATAGATATGTTAATTTTTTTACTTTTTTTTTTTTTTAGAGAAGAGATCTCACTATGTTGCCCAGGCTGGACTCGAACTCCTGGGCTCAAGTGATCCTCCCATTTCAGCTTCCCAAGTAGCTGGGACTATAGACGTGAGCCACCACGCCTGGCAAGATAGTAATTTTTTAAGAAGAAAGGAGAAAAAGAAATACTGAAAAAGTGGAACCAAGTGAAAGTAAAAGATAAAAGAGTAGAAAAAAATCTACTTATATCCACAACCACAATAAATACCAACAGAGTAAACTCAACAGAGGATGCCACCTAATTGGATTTTTTTGAAAACCCGGTTATATACTGTTTACAAAAATCACTGATAAAGCATAAATACATAAAATGTTGGAGGGAAAAAGGATGAAAAAGTATCAGGCATCTAACTAACCAATAACAAACTGGTATAGCCACGTCAAGCTCCAACTGAACATCATTTAAAGCAAAAAGTATCAATATGGCTAGAGAGAATCACTACGAGTGATAAAATGCTCAATTCATCGAGAAGATATAATACTTCCAAAATACATGGTTTTGATTTAAAAGCACATCAAATATAAGAAACACAATTGATAGAAATACAGTGAGAAATTGACAAATATTAATATATTATCATAATGTAAGATTTCAGCTCACATCTCTTGAGTGTTGACAAGTCAGGAAGAGCTATTAAAGCTTTGAATTCAAACATTACAATTAATGCACTGGCCTGCTGATTTAAGAAATAAAAAATATATATTATTCTTAAGCACACAGGAAGTATTTTCAAAAATTCATTATGTACAGGTAGCAGGTCCAGTCTCAACAAACTAAAATTTT